AGTTAAATTTGGGACAGCTGCACAACTTTCTTGACCATCAACTTCAACATAGGGGCTTTTCCTTTCCATCCTGGGGCTGTCTTTCTAGTCCCCTACAAAGAGGATTACACACAAAAGACTTTTTAAAGGTTCCACAGCAAGCTTTTGTCTGCCTCAACTGCCTCCCCCCACCCCCCAATCATTTTCTATAAATCTGTGTGAATGCACTTGGAAGCTTATACCTAGAATTAAACTTTTTTGGTCTTAAAGGTGCCACTGGACTGAAACTTTGTTGAATAAGTGTTATTAGTCTTTAAGATGTCACTCTGGGGCTGTCAGCCTTCAGCCCCCCCCCCCCCCAGAATCCCAACTGACCTCCAGACCACAGAGATCATCTCCCCTGAAGAAAAGGGCTGCTTTGGAGGGCGGACCCTGAGGCAGGATCCCCCCCGCCTGTAGTCCCTCCCCTCCCCAAGCCCCACCCTCCCCTGGGGCTCCACCTCCAATTCTCCAGGGATTTTCCAACCTGGAGCTGGCAAGTCTATGCTAGACTTGTTTTATTTTGCTGCCGTAGACAAACACGGCTGTCCTTCTAGAATACCATTCTCCATGAGGTCATTCACCCCCCCCCCCGAGACAGTTACTCCCCCTCCTAGGAACTGACCCATCGATTCCTGACCAAGCGTGCTCACTCTGTTCCCAGGGGCTCTCCTCCCACTCTCAAAACTATCAACTGCACATTGAGAGCATGCGTTCTAGCCACAGGGGCCCTCCTTCCACTCCCATTACTGGCTTCCTGGCATCCTTTGCAACCTTTCATGTTATTCCAAGGGAGCCAACGGGCATTCTTGGCTCTCCCTTTCTTTTCAATCTCAGTCTTTATTAAAACCAATCCCCCCCTTTCTTTCTAATGGGCATTCTTGCCATTGGTGTGCCCCGCGGGAAGTGCCGTCCACCTCGTCCACCCTGTCCTGTGTTCTCCCTGGGAGCCCACGTGGCAGTGGCAGTCGGTGGTGCAAAGAGACAGGGCAGCCTCCGTGCTCCTCACCACAACAGCTCCTTGCCAAGGGGGGGGGGGGTCTGAGGGGCAGCAGGTCTGGGGTTTTCTCTGTTTTGACCCTAACCCATGGGGAGGGTGGGACAGAAGTCCAAGAGATAAAATATGAAATACTAAGAGCAGGCCGCAGGCAGCTGGCACAGGCCTCTCCCATCCAGCACCCATGTAGCCCCTCCCCCTCCTTTCCCGAAGGTCTTGCCAAAGGGTGGGGGGTCTGTGTGGACACCCCCCACTTCCAACCTCCAACTTTGCAGCTGCAACCCCTCCCCCCCCAGCTCCCCTTCTCCCCAAATGTCCCAGATCTTGGACCCCAGATTGTGACTCTGATTTGTGGGATGATTTTCTCTCCTCCCCCCTGCCCCGGTATGTCATGAGCTCAGGATTGGGCTCTCGTGGACTTCCGGTTTATGGCGACACGATAGCGGACGTTTCTCCCGGACCTCCTGGGGAAGCGATCTGCGCGCCAGCGGTTGGGGGGGCAACTGGTCGCCACCCCCCCGGAACCTTTGTGAAAGGCTCCTAGCCATGGCTTTGAAAGGTAGCTTCTTCGCCAGCACGTTGCTGGAGAATTGAGGCGCTCTTCCTAACCCTGAGATTGCAACTGGTAGAGTCCGATGAGGACGGCAAGGAAGAAGAAGAAGACAGCAAACCGAGTGATGAAATGGACTCCGCTACTTCCAATGAGGACGCTGTCTCTAAAATAAGGAGCAGCAGCCCCTAAGCGAGAATATCAATTAAGGATTAGAAAAGATAAAGCAAAATGAAGGCTGAAGAACTCTGAGTTGTGCCTTAAGGCCTTAAGGTTATCAATGATGCTCTTGTGATTTTCTTTAAATAGTGAAAACAATGGTTTTAAAGATAAATAATATAGCATGATCGACTATGTTCAATGTAATCATAGCATTTTAGATTAACACTGATACAAGCTATTGTAATGATCTCCTATTCTTGGGTTTTTAGTTTGGTTTTCTTTCCTTTATCCCATAGATGTAGTTTTCCCTTCCCTTTTTTTCGTTGTAGTTTATAGAAAATGCAATAAAAAATCCCCTCCGGGGGCTTAAAAAAAAAGGATTGGGCTTTTGTGGAAGCAGCGAGTCACCTCCATGCGTACCTCGCATCCACCTTCAGGTCCTGTCCTCAGACCCCCACCCTGGCTCGGATTCCTGGCTTCCTGACCCCTCTTTCAGACTCACGATTTGGCTCTCACTCTTACTCTCCTGGCAACGACCTTGGACCGGACTTGACTTCTGTCTCTCAGCCCAAGCCCAGCCCATGATACCGTATTGAGGAATGCAACAGAGATCAGGCCCTCCCGCCTCTCCAAGGGGGCTCAATGAGGAAGGGGCTGGGAGGGAGCCCCATGGCTCCAGCCAAGCCCTGTGTTTGCAAGCCTCTTCCCCAGCACAGGTTGATAGTCTGATGCAACCCCCGGGTCACTTTGGCTTTGTATCTCTCCCATGAGATCGAGGGAGGCAGCAACAGCCCCAGAAAAGGAAGCAACCAGGAGAGAATTTTGTTGCACTGCACTCAATCAAAAATCCATGCGCCACAGCCTAAAAATTATTCCGCCAGCGCACCCTGCCACAACTTAGCGGGAACACTGATTAGGTAATGTGAGACTTGGATGGACCAGTGGTCTGATTCAGTGTAAGGCAGCTTCAAATGTTCATGTCTTGAAGTCCTTCTGTGTTCATGTCTAAGTATGATGTACAGACTAATTTTTTTACATGAGGCTCCTGGAAGGACTATCCTGTCAAGGTGAAAAATGAAGAAATATCTTGTGCACTGCCATTCCAACTTTAAGAAGAAGGATTCCCTGTCAACCATGGTCCACAGTCAGGGACTGGAAACCTGGGTCTCGTTCTAGCTAAATAACCCCACAGAGCAGACCCTGCGACTGAACAACAAAAATGCTGAAGCCACATCTTTCTCTACTTCCTCTACTTCATGCAATGCATAAAGGCTCACCACATTCATGTTTGTAGCCAGAAAACCGTCCTAACAGTCATGGCTATCTATCCTCCTCATGCCAAGCAATTTCTCCAGTTCAGTGCATTATATACCCCCATAAAAAGAGCTTTCAAGGGCAGTCTGTGCTAGTGCCAACAGAGTCTAACCTAAGCACTGATCACTAGTAGCATCTGCCAACCCTGGCTTATGTCTTCCACAACTTCTCTGAACGTTTTGACAGCAGAATTTTGGATCCTTGCAATGCCACACAGCGAGCTGGCTCTACTGCCTGCTCTGGAAAGCTTTTCTCCCAACACAGTTCCACACAGAAGCACAGCTTGCTGCATGCATTCTTCCCCCAAGCCATGCTGCATTAGAAACAGGAAGGAAAGCTTTTGCTCCACAAAACAGCGACACCCCCCCCACACCCGCCCACTGTATGCAGAAGGGAAGGAGAGAAAGAGAGACCTTCAGTTTCTGAAAGAGCTGTACTCTCTCTAACTGGTTCAGGGCTTTGGACTGTTCCCCACTACAAAGTTCCAGTCTGTTGAGGAGATATGGAGAAATCTGTGAAGACAGTCACATGTATGATTTGGAAAAAGAAAAGGAAGCTGGACTCGAAGAGAATCAATGTAACAATGCAAGGAATGAAGCTAAGAACATGGCAAAGTCAGGCAGGACGGTAAGATTGGAAGCTGAAGCCCTAAGAGCTCCTAAAAGCCACCAGCTGATTGGTGAAAAGCTCTCATGCAGCATTCTGGACGCATCCTCTTACAGAAAACCAGTCAAGCTTTTCTTTTGCAGTGTGACACAGCTTTCTCATGAACAGAGCCTGCCTCCGTGCCGTATAAATATTTGCAAGAACCAAGCACCAAAATACCTCCCAAAGTAACACAGACCCTGCTGGTACAAATCCAGTTGAGCTTACAATAACAGAACATTTTCTAGGACATCAGTCAAGGAAGAAATCTTTGCATTCCCAAAGTAAGCACAGCAGAGTGGGGATTCAAACCCAGGATTCCCAGAACCTAGTCTAACACTCTGAGCACTACATGTCCTCATCTCCTCTGCCCAGCCAAACCTGCAAATGCACAAAGGATAAGAAGTTTTCAGTTTCTTCTCTTGTATGGCTACCAGTGCTACCATACCACATCTACGGTAAGACCCTGTTTATTTTCCACCTATCATACTCTGGAAAATCACCACTTAACCCTGAGAATGTTGCATAAATAATAAAACAATTTAAGAGCTTTCTGATGACGTGTCACTTCTTGTTTCAGGGTGTTTTGTTGTTGTTTATCTTTAAGATTCATCTACCTTCCCTAGTTCTTCTGCTGCAACTGTTTAGGAAGAGGAGTGAGTAATACGTACTGTGAAGCATTTATGGGCCTTCCCAGTAGAAAATGAAACAAAAGGAACTGGGACAAAATGTCGGTCACTGGAAAAATGCAAGACCTCCACCTCACAGAGGGACACCATATATTCTTTTAGACTATGTGGAGTAACTGGTGGCTGTACTCGGATTAATGAGGCTATTGATACACAGAGCCTAGTTTTTTTCCTTGGTTCCAAGTTGCAGTACTGATGCATGCACGGATCTGCCTCCCTTGATCACTTGGCAGAGTTGGTTCTTGGGCCCAGTCTCCCAAGCAACTCATCGGGGCAGGCACCCCCTCCTGGGCCCACGCTGCCTCTGGCTGGGTTCAGCCCAGGCCCCAACAATGTCACGGGCCCACAAGGGGACAGATGTCCCTCGTCTGGAGCAACAAAATACCTTTCACTGGTCTTTTTGCTTAATAAACTCCAAAGAAACACAGCGGAGTAGCTAAATGCCTTCGGAAGCAGAGGAACCTGCACAGGAGCAAGTACTGGGTTTTTGGGGTGTGTATTTGGGGTCTTACCTTCTTTATGTTAGTCCCCACATAGCTTTTAGGCTCTTCTTTAAACTGAGATAACCTGAAACAACAAAAACAGAAAGGAAAATTAGGCTAAGAGAGTAACAGAATGCCCACTCCTGGTCTGGCTGTTGCCAGCTAGAACTGCAACTCTGAATGTTCTTTCTCTAGCCTCTGCCCATTAGAATTTACACTCCAGAGTAATCATCAGAAAAGCATCAATCCCAGCCGTTCAATGCACAGTGACAGGAAAATTTAGCGGTCTGACTGAAACTGGTATTTTCAAAAAATTACTAGTCAGACCAGATCATCCAGTTAGTGCTTGACAGACCCAAATCTGTATCAGTTCTTTAGTGCTGAATGATGCTATCTTCAGCTTGGTTAAAATACATCTGAAACAGCAGTTTCTGATTTATAATCATATTTTATTTTTTTTATTTTATTTTTTGCATTTTTACCTCGCCCTCCCTGCGAACGGGCTCAGGGCGGCTTACACAGGGGCATAATCATGTGACTAATACAATAGAAGAAAATATTTTCTCTGTGTGAATCCCTTATATTGGGTTGAGTGTCTTTTTGGAACATGTGAAAAGGGCAAGACTGGATTTCCATACAGCTGCACTTGTTCATTAATATTCATGCATCATATGCAGCTGCACATAAATACAGGTGTTACAAAATCTTTCAATTTAATCTCAATCCCCAGACTACTAACAATTCTCAGAAATGAAAACCATCAATTCAGGGTGCAATGGTAGCAAAAGGGAAAAAACAGGTTGCTTATCTGTAACGGGTGATCTTCGAGTGATCATCTGTGCAGTCCCACACATGGGTTGGGCACCTGCGCATGACCTCAAACGGAGAATATTCCAGGGCTTGGCTCAGAAAACTTTTGGCGGGCTCTCTTCCCACCCTGGGGAGCAGACACGCACTGTGCATTTTAGATCCCTTCCAGTCTGGCTTTCGCCCGGGTCACGGGACAGAGACAGCACTGGTCACCCTCACGGATGACCTCCAGAGGCATCTGGATCAGGGTAGATGGGCAGTGCTGTTGCTGTTAGACTTGTCAGCAGGGTTCAACACAGTTGACCATCAGCAACTGGTCCACTACTTCGCCGACAATGGGGTCCAGGGGCTGGCCTTGCAGTGGCTTGCCTCCTTTCTCCAAAGTCAGGGACAAAGGGTGGCGCTGGGGGATCAACTATCCCAGAGGCACCCACTGGATTGTGGAGTGCCCCAAGGGGCAGTGTTGTCCCCAATGCTCTTTAACATCTACATGCGCCCCCTTGCCCAGATTGCTCAGAGGCATGGGCTGGGATGTCACCAGTATGTGGAAAACACCCAGCTCTATCTGTTGTTAGGCGGTCAGTCTGACTCCAAACCGGAAGATCTAGACTGGGTGTTACAAGACATGGCTGGTTAGCTTAGGCTGAGCTGGCTGAAACAGAATCCGACCAAGACGGAGGTCCTTTGCCTGAGTCAGGGTGGTCCGTGGGTAAGGATCCCGCTCCCAACTTTCAATGGGGCACCTTTGGTGCCAGTGCTGGAGGTCAGGAGTCTGGGAATGCTCCTAGATGCCTCCTTAACAATGGAGGCCCAGGTAGCAGCAATTGCCAGGGCAGCCTTTTACCATCTTCGGCTGATTAGGCAGTTGGTCCCCTTCCTTGACCACAACTACTTGGCCACAGCAATCCATGAGATGGTCACCTCGAGACTTGACTACAGTAATGATCTCTACATGGGGCTGCCCTTGTCTCAAATCCAGAAGCTGCAGCTGGTGCAAAATGCTACGGCCAGGCTGTTGATGGGACTCCCAATTCGGGAGCACATCCAGCCTGTGCTCAAGGCATTGCACTGGCTGCTGATAGGATACCGAATTCGCTTCAAGGTGCTGGTTCTTACCTTTAAAGTCTTTTATGGTCAGGGACCTACATACCCGAGGGACCACCTTTCCCCACATGTACCCCAGGGAGTGCTGCTACCAGGGACCCAGAATCAACTGGCCCTCCCAAGTCTTAAGGAGGCCAGGCTGGTGACAACCAGGGGGCATGGGCTTTCATGGTGGTGGCTCCATCCAGGCGGAATGAGCTCCCAGAGGAGATCAGGGCCGTTCTGTAGGGCCTGCAAAATGGAGCTCTCCCGCCAGGCTCTTGGGAGCCGCCACCACCTCTAACGACTAGGGTGAGGAGCCCTGTTGCCCTGGAACTTCCATGAACAACTGCCGCCACAGCCGCCGCCAGAGGGGCGCCTGGGAGACACCTACGGGAGGATCTGTCCCCGGGGGGGGGGGGGGGAGAGAATTCTATAATAGCGAAACTAGCACGTGTTATTGAATTGTATTTTTTTAAATACTGTTTTAAATGTTTTATTGTACTATTTAAATGTTTTCTGCTGATTTTGTGTAAGCCGCCCTGAGCTGGCCTTGGGCTGGGATGGATAGATAAATAAATAAATAAATAAAGGGGGGGGGAGAGCTGCCTCCCACTCAATTCCTTCGACCGCTACCGGTCAGTCCCATCAAAAAACGTTAAGTGGCCAGGAGATGCCATCAGTGGGGAAGGCTGGGTGGGATTGTGGTACTGCATAGATGACCACTCGAAGATCAACAGTGACAGGTAAGCAATCTGCTTATCTTCTTTGTGCAGTCTCTGTGCAGTCCCACACATGGGTGACTAACAAGCTGAACCAGACGGAGGAGGGAGCTGGCAGCTGTAAGTACAGAGGAGGGCAACCAAGAGGATCAGGGGGTTGGAGCACCCTTCCCTATGAGGAGTGGCTGAAGAAGAGTCCGGGACTCTTCAGTTTAGAAAAGAGACAAGAAAGGTGGGACATGATAAAGGTTTATAAAGGTTAGACAGAATAATGGAGGAGAGTCTATCAATGGCTGCTAGCCATGGTGACTGAGGGGAACCTCCACATTCAGAGGCACTAATCTTCTGAATCCCAGAGGCAGGAGGCAACATCAGGGGAAGGCCTTGGCTTCTTTGCCCTGTTGTTGGCCCTCCAGAGGAACTAGTTGGCCACTGTGTGTCAGACTCGGACATTTGACCAGCTGTACCTGCTGTATTTCTACCCAATATATTTTGTCTTATTGTATCCCGCTTGAGAGTCCCTTGGACTACAAGAAGAACAGATCAGTCCATCCTAAAAGAAATCAACCCTGACTGTTCCCTGGAAGGCCAGATAATGAAACTGAAGCTCAAATACTTTGGCCACCCAATGAGAAGGGAGCACTCACTGGAGAAGACCCTGATGCTGGGAAAGATTGAAGGTCAAAGAAGACGGGGACGGCAAAGGATGAGATGGTTGGACAGTGTCATCGATGCAACGAACATGAAATTGAGCCTACTTCAGAGGACGGTGGAAGACGGAGGAAGGCCTGGCGTGATCTGGTCCATGGGGTCGCGAAGAGTCGGACTCGACTGTGCGACTGAACAACAACAACAAATCCCGCTTGCTTCCTGCACCCTGACATTTGTTTAGCTTGCTGCTCCCTGCGCCCTTATCACTTGCCCTAGCCTGCCATTACATTCCTGGGGGGGGGGGGGAGGCATTTAGGGAGGCTACCTTCAGTAACTCTTCCATGGGACCTCAAAGACATCTTTCACACAGGAAATGTCCTTGAAGTAGAGTCTGTGCCTGGCTAGTTGTTGAACGTATATCTTTCATGGTCTTTGTAGCAATGCTGACATGTATGAATGGAATGTTAGGGTTGTATCTATATGCCCCTTTCCCACCTTTGCACTCCAGTCCTGACAAAGCGTTTGAACCCATGGCATTCCATATCTCTAAATAAAACATTCACTGAAGAAAGTGTGTGTGGAGAGTGATTTGACTGGGTACCTGACACTGTGGGAGAGAAGATGCTGGACTAGGTGGACTACTGGTCTGATCCAGCAGGGCTCTTCATATGTTCTTATGAAAACACACATGGATGGAGACACCTAGCCTGGCCGAGTCACATGAGGCACATGGATGCAGGTGCTTTGCCCAGGTTAGTCAGTCTCTGGATTTCATACTCAACGCTCGTATTTCTGGTTTAACTACAATTTCCAGCCAGTGATCATAAGTGGTGTAAGATTGGTCTATAATGAGTTGTGGTCCAAGCCTAGTCTCTATGCCCTTTAAGTACACCTCATTTATTATTGACTATACATTTATTTATTTAAAGAACGACTCATAAAAATTCACCAGCTGTGTGTGTAACTACCAGGTGCTTGGTCTGTTTCTTCATAAGATGGTTGAGTGTGGTCTGGGCAACAGAGGGATCAAAGCGGGCACTCTCTGTCTCACTGTGCTTAGCCAAGGGACATCAAAACTAGATTCATGCATAAACTGGCATCGAAACAATCATGCCGAAAGCAAGCAAGGCAGAGAAGACAAGAAACAGGAAGGAATGCGGACAGTCAGGCAACTCTAGACCAGTTTTCTAGCAGCCCCATCCTTGTCTTGGTAGAAGGCAAAAAAGAAGCCAGAAAAGATGCAGCTGAGTCTAGTTCCCATGACAACCTACCCAGCACAAGTTTAGTTAAGGGTTGAAAAAGACCTCTGCCTGAGACCCTGGAGAGCAGCTGCCAGTAACAGTAGACAGTACTGGGTGAGACAAGTTAATGGTCTGACATGGTGTAAGAAAGCTTCACTAACAATAATGGGACTAATATTGGCAACTGGTGTGGAGTGGCAGCAGGGTAAGGCTGTATTGTTGACAGGGGCTTTTTCTTGACTTGGTTTCAAACAGTGTTTGTGTTAATATTTCAATATGTCAACTTTGTGGCCAACTTTAATTTGCTTGTTTTATTGTAAACCGCTTTGAGCAACAAGGAAAAGTGGCGCAGAAGCACAGTAAATCAATATTCATCTTTCCACCCCTTGTTTTCTAATTTTAGAATTTTGCAACCCCTCCCCTAATCATTACTAGCTTTGCATTTGTAATTTTGCTGAAGGCACTGCATTGCACAGATGATTGAATTATCTAGCGATGAAAATGACTTCTGTTGTCTAACTCTGGCCAATGTGAAAAGCAGCTTCCAGGAGTCATGTGAAGAGGGTAACAGAATTTGCTTTCCATGCACCTCTGGTGTACAAAACTCCCCTCTCAACAGATCATAATAAGGAAAGTTGCATCACTGCTGATTTCTCCTACTAAAGGTTCACCACCTCCTCCTATATTGTCCTGCTGTGGTTCCTGAGATCCCTTGGGGTTGGAGGTAAGTCATCAAAGACGCACAACAAGGCCCTCACAGTGGGAACTCCCAGTCAACGGTCTGAGCCCACCAGTCTGCCTACTTTCCACAGGCAAACAATTTTTTAAAAAAATTAGTCCAGTCCAACAGCAAATGACTGATTAATTCATTAATTTGTACTGGGTTTAATGTTATTGTGTTATTGTATGACATTTGATTTTACGTGGCATTGTGTCTTTGCTTCTATGATGTAGACTGGTGGCATAAAAGGCCAACAAACAAAACAAAGACATAACCCAATGGCAGAGAACACCCAGTTTGCGTGAAGAATCAAGCTTTGCAAGACCAGATAACACTTGGGCTCAATTCCTTTTCTGGACACCCCCCCACCCATGGAACCTTCCCGCCCTTGGAAGGGCCATCTAAGCAGAACCGAGACAAACACAAGGAGGTTTACCTTGTGAAGAGCAGCTGTACCATGTCGACCAGAGTGTGCTCTGCAGATTTTCTCAATAACTCTGAAGACAAAAACAAATAACACAGGTGTCATTACTCAGTGTGATATTATCTAGAGGTTTCTCCAAGCAGACTTTCCTCCAAGTGTTGTTTACAAAGGATTACCAGAGATTTATTAAAACCAGCTCCAGCCTCAGCTGTGCAGCAAAACGTGCAATTGTACAGTAAGTGGCGCCACAGAGCTGAAGGGTGGGGGAAGATGGAAGTGGCTAAGCATAAACGTGGTGCAGAGACCCCGGAGTTTTATTAAGCTGTAGAAACTTGACTGTGCCAACTTAGCATATTTTATGCTCGCTTGCATTCCAACACACAGCAACACTGCAGATAGTGGTTCAGTAGAAGTGAGCAAGGGTCCAGGAGCAGCAGCCCCTGAAGGACTCACAAAGCATGTGGCAGGGCATGTGGCTTTCATGCGTCACTGCTCACGTCTCCAGAGGCAGCCTGTATCTGAAGAACTGAGCAGTGACCTTTTTTGTTGGTCTATAAGGTGCTGCTACTGGACTCGTACTCTTTTCTACAGACAGACTAACATGGCCACCCATCTTGATCTTGGTTCAGTCACCGGCAAGAGTCCTCTCGACCCAGGAATGGTTGGACACTATTGGTTCAAGGACCTACCACTGAGCCTCATCTCAAAGCATATACGAAAGCAGGACTGCATGATTTCACAGACGGACTCATTAGTCAGATGAGCTCCAACGGGAGTGAGGAGAAGAGTCCGCAGGACCTGGAGGAAGAACAAAGCAACAAATCAACATACGACACTATATCTCAGTGACTTCCACACGTTAGACAAGAAATTTGCGCACAATAGAGATGTGTTTTGCAATCTTCAACTAAATGGAAGAAGGGACCAGTTCTTCCTCACCTGTCATCCCACCCATCGTTCTCATTCCCTTAAGGGTGTCTAAACAACTTTGTCTTCATGTAATACAAATTTACCAGCAAAAGAACTCTGATTCTGGCAACAGCACATCAAAAACTTATATCTGCCTGGGTATGCAAGCTACATGGTTCAGTGAAGCCAAAAAAATGTTGTTGCTCTTTGCTTATTCAGTCTCCAGCGAAGAAGATGGCAGAACAAACTGCAAATGGCCAAAGTACCTGCAAGATCTTCATCAGGACCACCTCATCACTTGCAGGGTCTGTGCCCACAAATCGGGCATGCGTGACCGCATCTGCCATGTTCTCCATTCCCTCAGCTGTGCCTTCGTGGTTAGAATCTGTATGACACAGGAGAAATTTTGCTAAGGTCAGACCAAAAGGGATCTGTGTCAAGAGCAAAATGAAACTCTTACCTGCACACACACAAACACCCTTTCTTGTACATCAATCAGCCTAATTCACATTACTATTAGAAACAGAATACTAAATGCTCTCCTTGAACAAAAGATGACCTCCTCCCCTCCCAAAACAGCATGAGGAGTGCTGATTACAATCCAAGAGGTCCAGAATGTTGAGAGTAGATGGAAGTCAGTAACGGGGGTGCAGAAATTGGCTTTCTCAAGCCTGAGTGCTTACGAAGTCATGAGCATTTTGGTATTTCTACCCCACCCAGTGATTTTTTACCTAGGTACAGATGGATATCAATACCTCCCCCAAAGCATATTGGAATCTGCAGGACAATAAATCACCGGAATGAAAGGATTCGGGAACTGGCCCCTGGGTTAACTACAACAGAGATGACCACTTGCCTCTGTGTTTGAGGAACACAGGGAGACAAATGACGCTCTCTGCAGCACCTACGAGTGCCCCCGCCCTTGCCTACTTCAGCAATCGTATCCTTAGCATTGCTCTCTCCATTTGCCTTAGGACTTCTTGTTGATGGGCACTTAGGAAAAGCCAGAGACCCTAGTGTGGATGTAGCCCTGCTGAGCAGCAGGGACCAGGAACCCCCCCCCCCCACTCTGGCCAGTTGGGCTCTCCGTTGCCTCACTGTGGCTGAAGAGCAGCCCTGAGACGAGAGGGTGGAAACCAAGACCAGGTACCCTAACCGGGTGGGGAGCAGGGCAGACGAGAACCTTCTCAGAGTCCCTGGGCAATCTGGGGCAGAGGCTTTCCCCTTGATGACTTGAAGGTAGTGTCCACAACAGTAAAGGGTACAAAAAGAACAGCTGCATATCAGGTATTGCCATGAAGATGGCAACAGGAAGCATAGTGGGGACTGAGAGCAAACAGCTATCACCGAAGGCGGGGGGGGGGGGGAGACTGGGGAGCTAGTGACTCCGAGGCAGGACGCTTCAGTCACTGCAGTCAAGGCGCTCGCTCGCTCGCACAGAGGTGAGCTGGAGTCATCAACAGGAGTTGCAGCTCTCAGACTGGGGCAGGCCAGAGACTCCCTTGGCTTCTGTGATGCTTGTTCAGGGTGTTAGATGGCACTGTGGTGGGCCAAGGCCAGGGCCAAATGCCACAGAGCTCCACCATGCCAGCACCAGAGGCCAAATGGCTCAACTAGGACCCACGCTGCGCTGAGGATGGCGAGAGACTGGCCTCGCTTAGCTGTTTCTTGGCCTTTCAATGTTTAGTTCAGGCTTTTGGGCCTAGTCAAGTTTCCAAAGGCTCTTCTCTCTGGGAGATTAATGTCACACTGACTTGCTGTTTCCAGAGATATAAGGGATGAGATGAAGTCAGAAGTCAGAGATCAAGAGGGAATTTTGCACTCACTTTTCTTCTCTCTCTCTTTTTTGAATGTTTTAATTATTTTTAACAAACATACAAACAAACAAAAATGAGAGTAATAACGATAACATCATATCTCTTAGATCACCTCTTACATATATATCTATATACCAATTTTCCACCATATGATCAATAATTATTTTTGTAAGTCTATGTTTTACAATCAAGATTTTTAGCAATCCTATTCTATGAGTCTAATTATGGATATATCTTAAAGTTACATAATCACATTCTATATTTTTTGCATCTCTATTAATAACAAAAACAAACTCTCTCCTGATAAACATTCTACAATAATCTTCTATAAACTATAATTGTCTATTTAACCAAGTTATATACTATTTCTATTTGTGCTGGTTTATTTTGTGTTAATTATTTTGATGTCAACAAGAATAGATTCTCTAGTCTGCCTCATGTATCAAACCAACCTTAATATCCTAATGAGTTACAATCCTCTGTTGTTATCCTTACCTAAATATCCTTCTCTAACCAAATTTATTCATATATAGTCTAGATCTCTCCCTTTTTTTTTACTTAATCACTAATATTCTATAATATCTTCTGTTTATATTGTCTTCTCTTAAAGTCTTCCTTAATTTTATGGGCAATAATTTTATAAATGCATTAAGAATACATTCAATTATAACCAATATTAACTAATTGCAAATGCAGTTTTCCCTAATCCATTTTACACAAAAACAGAGATTCTCTGAATCAGACTTGTTTTAAAAACTTTATTCTTTTCTTCTTCTTATAACTCCTTTTTTTTCAATAAGATCATCATCATTTCCTCATAGATGAAGGGGATTTCTTTTAACATTCGCCATCTACATCCAATTTTTAAGGTGGCTGAGGTTTCCACAGCTTCTGTTTCATCTTCTCTTTGGAATATAGCTTTGAGGATTCCAGAATTTGACAGTCTTTTAGTAGATCTGTTGTTCTCACTGTAGATCTAATCAACTTGATTGCAGAATTGTTCTGTGTCTTGCACTTTTGAGTGTTGAAGATCCTTTTCTCTGTAGGTTGAGTCAGCTTGGCTATAACATTGTCCTGCATTTTGTATAATTTGATGCTGGAATTCTCCTTTGTAGGTTAAGACCACAAGAGTATAAGTGCTGTTCTGCTTCTTGCACTGTTTGAAGCTGAGGTTCCTTTATCTGTGTTGTAGTTTGGCTTATTTTGTAGCATGTTTATCCATTACCGGTTCCAAAGCTTCTTTAAATGCCAGGGTGACTTCATTCACAAGCATAGCCCGAAACTCCTCCCAAGACACCTGCAGCTGATTAATTTCTTCAGAGCTCTCTAGGCATGCATCATCTGGCATTTTTCTTTTTGAGTCCTGTCCCTCCACTTTAAAACAGTATCAATAGTCCCAGCACAGTCCACACTCTCTGCTAGTTATTGTCAGTAATCTTTTCAAAGCTGACGGTGTTTAGAGCTGTTGGCAGCGAAGGATCTTTCAGCACAAGTCAGATGTTAACTCCTCCGTTCCCGGCAATGAAGCATGACATCATAAAAAGTTGCCACAAAGTAACAGAGTCAAATCGAAATAACTTTCTTTCTTTTTCCAAAAAAGATTTTAAAATCATTTTATAGAAGCTCAAACAAGAGTCTCCCTTTGCCCCAGAAAGTATTTCTCTCAGCTTTCTTTGTATAAATCATCCCGGCCGCTCCGCAAATGAAAGGGGGGAGTCACACTCTCTTCAGTGTATTTTAAAGGGGCTTAAAGAGAAAGTCGTCGGTTTCTTCAATTATGCTTTTTCAGGTACTTACGGTATATTTCTTCATCGATGTCACTGATGCGGCTCAGATTAACTCTCTTGATTCAGAGCATACACAGCTGGTGCAGTTATGGCTGCCATGACTGCGCTTCCTCGTTCTTTGCTTCGGGAGGATCCGGGGCTTCCACCCGCTTTAGCCGCAAACAGGGGCCCCGGATCGAGTCCAGTGGCGCTCAGGATCCCCTGAAAACTCCTCTAAATATAACAAAGAGCCAGTGGCATCCAGGAGGAGGAATTCCTGGTGCCGACCTGTCGCTGCGCCATAGCTCTGCTCCCCCTCACTTCTCTTGTTGTTCAGTCGCACAGTCGAGTCCGACTCTTCGCAACCCCATGGACCAGATCCCGCCAGGCCCTCCTGTCTTCCGCTGTCCTCTGAAGTTGGCTCAATTTCATATTTGTTGCATCTATGACACCGTCTAACCATCTCATCCTTTGTTGTCCCCGTCTTCTTTGACCTTCAATCTTTCCCAGCATCAGGGTCTTCTCCAGTGAGTGCTCCCTTCTCATTTGGTGGCCAAAGTATTTGAGCTTCAGTTTCATTATCTGGCCTTCCAGGGAACAGTCAGGGTTGATTTCTTTTAGGATTGACTGATTTGTTCTTCTTATTTATTTATTTATTTATTATTAAATTTATACCCCGCCCTTCCCTGTAGGGCTCAGGGCGGCTAACAAGGCAAGAAAGAGCTTGCTAATAAAACATCAATACTCTAATACAGTTAAAAACAACATATACAATTTAAAACCAATAAAACAATTAAACCCCGCCCTTCCCTGTAGGGCTCAGGGCGGCTAACAAGGCAAGAAAGAGCTTGCTAATAAAACATCAATACTCTAATACAGTTAAAAACAACATATACAATTTAAAACCAATAAAACAA